AAACTTATGTGGTCGGAGGGATGAAATCTGTGTTCAGATGCTCCTGCTGCGGCGGTGGACGACGGAAAGATGAAGAGACAAGCAATTATGAAAACTGATAGCGAAGAAGAGAGAGAAGTAAAAAGTGTAAATGGTCTCCTGCTTCTCTTATTTATAGAATGACCTCAACACACATGCACACCCACACAGGGTCATCATTAACCCTAACCTCTATAATGCCATCATTATACACTACTGCAACGCGTGTCCAAAATCCAATCAACTGTTTGGCTCCCCGCGCGCCGAACATATAAGGCAACGTTTAGGTTCCTTGTACATGCATGTCCTCAGGCAATCTTGGAACATCCTCGTCTCATGCAACAAGCGCCAACGACATTATGGCCTCCTCAACACAACATGCTGACTTTAAAGTCATCACTCATTCGCCTATGAGCAATGACTTGGGGGCTCCTGTTTTGGACTGACCCAATCGTTAAGCAGAGCCCAATCTACTTCTGCATTTAGGATGACCCAATGACTTTGGCCCATTCAGTCAGAATGGATAAGAGATACTTTTTCCCTTCCGCCCCTTATCCGAGGAGCCATGGTCGGTTTACCCCCAAGATTAATGAGACCACATTTGCTCGCTCAGAACATGCTAGTCATCATCATGTTAGTTGTACGAGGACAACCACCCAAGAACGACCAGAATCACACTTGCCCATGAACACTTTCCTACTCGTTATAACAGCTAGTTCCTGACAGTTACCTATTTTTGAGGAACCTCATATCTAGACCTAAAATTAGAACCAACGGTCAAGCGCCGTGGGCACTATATAAACCTTCACACTTGTGAGGACTAGATATTCAATATTCATCACTCGGGTGTCAGAGTGTCTTACAGGTACACCTCTTCCTCCTGATTACCAATTTTGCAGACGAAGATATTGCCTCCTACAGATTCTGATCACCAGTAAAATCAAAATTTTGATCTTCCCTACCAAATCCAACGTCAATCACCACTAGACCAACTAACGATTAATGATAAAAATATATTTTTGTTAAAATAATAAATATGTAAATTAAAGAAAAAGCCATAAAGTAAAAATTACAAGTTAAAAAACTATTATAAATACCTTTAAAAAAAACTAAAAACTAGTTAAAAAATCTAAATGTTTAAAGCTAAAAGATAGTTCTAAGAGAGTATTTTCATTAATATGATTTAAAAAGTTAAAATATCTTTTTTAAATCTTACGAAAGAGACTCCTAATCTCTCGAATTGGAAAAAGATCCCAATAATCAACTAATCATATTTTTATTTAAATTGAAAAGATGTTTTATGGAGTCAATTTAATGTTAATTTTGAGATTATCAAAGGCCAGAACGCAGTTTGAGACCAGAGAATCCCTATCCTTTCCCAAATGAACAAAAAAAAAAAAACACCATGTTTCGTTTTCCACGTTAGCATCAAAACTATTACCAACGGTTCTTCTGTTCAGTTAATTCTTCACCTACTTTTCCCTCTTCATTCTCCCACCAACCAAACAACCATCATTTCTTTCTTCCAATGATCATTCAAGCTTTTCACGCTTCTTCTTCTTCTCCTCCTTCTTACTTCCATTCTTTTTCCACCAAGCGTTTCCCTTCAAGGAAGTCTCTGAAGCTCAACTGTAGCAATACTTCAAATGGAGACAAAGTTTGTTTCTTTTTGTTAATCCCTTGTTTTTACCATCTTTACCTCTTTATACTTTCTTTCCAATGCTGCAGGATGGTTATCTTCTCGATGCTCCTGTTTCTGTTGGTGACGGTTTCTCTTTCACTGGAGGTAATAACTAGCTACTCTTTTTGCATAATTATCAACTGAGCTGACTTAACGGAACAATTGCTAAATAATTGATGGATCATAGACTTGCTAAAGATATTATTGGAATCTTCTATCAGGAAAATATTCAGATGGGCCAAATCCAAGTGATGAATGGTTCAAGCAAGGGAAAATGGTAATTATTCATAATGTTTTATCATCCATTTCTTAATTTTTTTTTAAATTATTTGAACTACATTTAGTTTAGGTTAAAATGATATTGATCAATATTATATGATTTTATCCAATAATTTTTTGATATCATTAGGTTAAAGCATATTCAATTCCTGGAACTGGGGAAAAGGCAAAAGATCCTATTTTCGGGCTAACAATGGGCAATAGTTCCCAAGCTAGCGGCGATCGTTTCAGGTAAACTAGATGTATCTTCATATGTCATTAATTCTCTAACTAATAGCTTTTCGAATAAGTTGAAATCAGCTTCTTCACTTTAATTTATTCATATGTTACTAATTGAATCATACTTTGTGAATATGATTTTACATTATAGATGGTTTTGTGTTGAAAGCGGAAATGCTGATAATCCTTCAGTCATATTAATCCATGGTTTCCCTTCACAGGTCAGTTTCATTTTATTTGTCAACTGTAAATGCACACCACTAAATTTGTTTTCGATGAAATTGAGATGATGACAGTATCTTGAGTTGATTTGGTGCTTCTGTCCAGGCATATTCCTATCGCAAAGTTCTCCCTGTACTCTCGAAAGACTATCATGCAGTAACATTTGATTGGCTAGGTAAGATCACAATGTTTTTATTCGATTTATGTAGCTATAGTTTCTTGTATTTTATGTTTTGAAGCTGTGTGTTCTTTTGACACACTCAACTATGTTTTGTGTCATTGTTTACTTTATAGCTTCTTAGTTGATACAAACCAAATTAGTAAATGTTAGAAAGCATATGATCTTGTAAAATGCTTTCACTGAAGTCTCTTTCAGAGCAACTAAGGAGAGTAGATCAGATGAATGACAGTCTAATCGCTAGAGGCAGAGGAAAACTTAAAAATACTATAAGTGTAACTAATAAGAAAGATCTAGAGATTAATAAGTTGTATAAAGATATGATGTACGATAGAACATTATGGCATCGTTATATTCATGTAGTTGATCCTATTTTGTGAGATAAAGCAGAGTTGCTGTTATGATATAGTTTCCTTGATAATTAAGCTTTGATTCCACTGCAGAAACAGATATGTTCACTCCATTTTCCTTTTTCTATTTCAGGATTTGGGTTTTCTGATAAGCCTCAACCCAAATATGGGTTTGACTACACCCTTGACGGTAATTGCTTGTGTGATTAACTTCACGGTAACAAGAACTGGTTTTGAATTTATTGATTTTGTAAAATTAATTTTGACTAAAAGTTAGTTGAATATAAAATAATCTACGTCTGAATGTGAGTTCAACAGAAAATTGAGGCTAAAAATCAACCGTAGAAACAAAAGCTTGAAATTATTGTTTCAAGTTAGAATCAATTCTAGAGACAAAAGCTTTTCTACTCGAGAATATCCAATCATGTTAAAATCTTTTTCTTCTTCAATATGCAGAATACGTGGCATCATTGGAGTCACTTATTGATGAACTTGGTGTTTCTAAAGTCTCGCTTGTTGTCCAAGTAAGTTTGACTTAGTTGATAAGAATCATGGATCTACTTGTTATAGTAATCTCTTCTTTAACATATCATTATTCTTGTTTGTTCAAAGGGATATTTTTCACCAGTTGTAGTTAAGTATGCCAAAAATCACCAAGAGAAGATTAACAACTTAATACTCATTAATCCACCGGTACGTTTATTTTTGACTCGTGTTATTTAGACAGAAAAATTTCAGTATGTAGTTACATTAAGTTGTTGATTAACGAATATAACAAGTTATCGTCATAAATCGTTATTCATTGATTGAACACAAATTAATATCATCAGTCTTAAATGGAGTACTTCTTAACAGTTTGATAACTTGAATTTTTCTTGTTATATAAGTTAACAGCTCAACACGCCAAGCTTCCACCGACATTGTCCATATTCAGCAACTTTCTGTTAGGTGAAATATTTTCACAGGTATTAAACAGTCATAAACATTATTCAAGTTTAGTACATACTATCCTGGTCACAATTATAAGCTAATATTTTCTTTGCAAGTTCATTGAATAATTGATGTATCTTGTTTGTACATAGACCTGATACATTAGTTATTCAATGAATCTGAAAAGAGAATTTTTGCTTATAATAATGATCGAAGGATGTACTTTTAAGCATATATTTATAGTTGGATCTAGAAATGTTGACAAAAAAGGTTCCATATAATGTGATTCTCTTGTGAGTGATTAGGATCCATTGAGGGCTAGTGACAAAGCTCTAACAAGCTCTGGACCCTACAAAATGAAAGAAGAAGATGCAATGGTCTATAGAAGACCCTATCTCATATCTGGATCTTCAGGCTTTGCATTGAATGCAATTACCAGGACCATGAAGAAAGACCTCAAGGTTTTTCATAATTGATAACTAAGTAATTAACTTATACGTGACGTTGCGTTGTAAGTGGCAGAGTAGCCTTGCTGCTACGATCCACAATGTTTCATTATTCAACTTCTGTCTCTTCGGTTCGTACTAAGAAAGGGTAAACTAACACGTATGTTTAATCCATTTTTCTTCAGAGGTATGTAGAGGATATGCAAACAATACTTACGGACAAAAGTTGGAATGTTCGAACAACGATATGTTGGGGCCAGAGAGATCGTTGGTTAAGCTACGATGGAGTTGAAGATTTCTGCAAAGGTTCTAATCATAAACTTGTTGAAGTTCCAAGGGTAATTAATTACTTTAGATTCATTTTCCTATCATAAACTAGGTCGCCACAAGGCTATCTTCTTCATAAATCTTCCTATTTGTGCTCTTTGTAGGCTGGACATCACGCACAAGAAGATTGCGGAGAAGAGCTTGGACAACTTATTTATGGAATGTTACACAAAAAGAACTAAACATGAGTGATCATATATAAATTTCTAGTCTTTTGAATACAAAGTAAATGAATTACTAAACTTTAAGGCCAAAGTATATTTATTCAAACACATTATATATTCCAAACACTTGTCTATGTTATTTTTAAATAGTTTTTTCCTTCCACATATGAATGCAAATAGCACACATTATTTGATAAGACAGAGGACATTTGGAATAGTATGTGTAGCAGTTCCATGAGCATTTCTACAAAAAGCCGAAGTCTTCTTTCCTGGTTGAGCAGAGACAATGTTGTTTTCTTCCAATACAATGCCATAACAACCAGATGAGCTACAGTCTAAACTAATAGCTACATCGGTAGCAGAAGTTCCGGTAAATCCTCGATATGTCACAAAACTCACCGACACAGATGCATCCTAACAATTTCAACATAAAATCGGCTAATACATTGTTGAAATGATAAAGTATATATAGTATAGTATAATAATATCAATAATGTAGAGTGAAATATATGTACCCGAATACCGGCATTATATTTTTGATCTATAATTATAGGGTTCTTAACATTCACAAGGATGATTTGTTCAAAAGTAATCTGATTCGTATAATAATGTAGAGTGAAAAAAATAGTAATAATAAGATCCATATTTTTACATTTTTACATGAACTATAATATAAACATAGATTTAACCTTAATAGTGATAATCACCTCGACTGTCTTGATTCTTGCTCCATTTGTAGTTCCTGTGAAAGTACAATTCCGTACATGAATATCAGAAACTTTATCCGTAGTTTTATTTCTACCGAGACTACCAACGCTGATTAATTCACGAAATTCATATTTATATGAGATTTGTGAAGAATACAAATGCGCGTAGAATACAAAACTTAGTTTGACATTTGAGATAAAATCTCTATAAACCTTATCCTGTGGCCCGGTCCACAAGTAACTCGAGTAGCATTGATAAAAGTGGAGCCGCCGTTTATGGCAATACAATCATCACCTACAAAACTCAAATCGATCAGTTACACAAATGTTATCATTTTAAGGAGAATGATTGATTCTTAATAAATATAATCAATTTTCTTTTTTACAACTTTCTTTAATTACCGGATTTTATGTCGGAGTCTTGTATCAAAATATTAGTAGAATAAGAAATGCCAAATCCATCAGTGTTAGGGCTAGTAGCAGGAGAATTAATAGATACATGAGTGAATGTTGCACCATTGCACTGCATAACATATACATGAATTTGTGGACTATGAGTGATCTTCAAGTTACGAACATTAAGACCATTGCATGCATGAAAAAACAACACCTGCACCATTAACAAGATACTCACAATTACTTCAAAATAATAATGTGTGTATCAATGTATCATAGACTATATTTGTTATAAAATCATACCCCAGGTCGAAAACAAGTTGGGCAGTTCCACCAAGTTCCACCATTCCCATAGACTTCTCCATGGCCATTGCCATCAACGATAAGTTCGTTTAAATATTCCATCGTAATCAAATTCGCCCCACCTTTCCAATTTTCTTTAGAAGGTGCAACTATTCGCCCTTCCATCTGCAGTTAAGAGAGAAAATAAATTAGATTTTTTTTAAGTATCACTAGATGGAATTTCATCATTCAAACGTGAATAACTGAGATATCGTGAATTTTAATCTATACTCGTGCAAGCTACTAACTGAGCTGAGTTAACAAGATAAAATTGATGGTTTTCTTTACATCAATCGATAGGTGTTAGATCTATGTTGAATGTTAGATATATTATATACCTGAATGGTAATTTTGGCATTGCAAGGACCACTAAAGTTTACTCCAGTCACCATGAATGATTTTCCAGATGGTATAACTAATGTTGACATCCCACTTGATGCACAGACACTACTCCATGCTTTTGAAAATGCCTACATTATAATAAAAGATATATTATTGTTAAGGGTCACTCAATTAATCACAATTTATCAAAACCATAAATTTTTCATAAAGATATAAAAATTAAATAAAACAAAGAGAAAATTTTCTCATATGATATAAAAAAACATAGAAACTATATACTTGTGTATCATCAGATTTGCCATCTCCAATTGCACCATATTGCATCACATTATAAACATCATTTGTGGTTCCAACATTCAACCTTGTACATAGACAAGGTGAAATAAAACTAAAAATTAAAATATAAGTGATGGATCCTTGCATGTTGATAAAAATGAGATAAAAAAGAAGAGAAAATTTAGAGTTACTATGATGATTTGTGATGGAAGTAGAGTAATGGTGTTGGGGTTATATAGAAAATTAGATGAATGTATTTTATTATGAAAATAAGAGACTATAGGGCAATAAAGTAAAGGGGTATTTTTTTATTATAAAATATATCCCAATGATAAAAGCATTAAATATTTGAAATAAAACTATTTGTTTTTCTAATAAAATAATATTTATAATGTTATTATTATTAATATTAATATTATTATTGTTATTGTTGTTCTTATTATATTATTGTTTTTGAAATAATTAATTGCAACAAGAAATTTGACCCATATAGTATTATAGTTTTTGTCTTAATGTTTAATAAAATCTTGGAAGTTGCAAGCTTTCTAAATTTTTAATTAATTGTGACTTTCAAAGAGAGTAAGTGAATTTAACGTGTATATTTTACATGCTGATATTTAAAAAATATTGTACATAATTATTTAAAAAAAAGTAAAAGAGATGTTAGAAAAACTATTTTAACATTAAAGTGCACAAAGAATAACTTTCAACAAAAATTAACATACATTGAAATAGACTCCAATACGCAACTAAAATATATTAAAAAAGAAAAAGAAAATAATTAGAATTTTTTTTTACAATGTATTTATATAAGATTTTATAATTATGTAATACAAAAATAAAAGATAAAGTGACAATTGATAAAAAAATTTAGATTGTAAAATCAATTATTTTAGAAATTATATTATAAATTTAGAAGATATAATATTACTATTCATAAATTTTTGAACTCTCTAAAAGATTAATTGTTTCTGATGTAAGGAAACTAAAAATATCAAAAACTGTTCTGGACTGGGTCTGACTGGCCCAATAGCACTGGGAAGGCCCAATCCAAACGGATTTGCTGGGGGTCACGCCGACCAAAGGATCACAATCGTGCCCGACGTGTTCCCTGGGGCTACTTGCTCGACCTCCTACGGTCCAGCTCGACCTCGCCTCGAGTACCCCTCCTAGGGCAGACTCAGTCCACTGCACTCTCAACGGGACTCCGAAAAGACCGCGTCTCTGTCCGCCCGCACTTCACGCAGAACATCCAGGGAGGGGACCACGTGCGGGTCCCCACTACGCACGTAGAACCTGGCAGTTCCTCCATTGGGCCAAACCTGCCCGGCCCAATGAAGGAACCTTGGCCCAGCGCTGGGGGCTATAAATACCCTCTGTTTCCAGAGGGTCAGGTATTCATCATTCTACCCATACACTTACTGTTGCCTGCTCGTGCTCTTACTTACTTCAGCATCGGAGTGTCTTGCAGGTATCCCCCCCACCTCGTTCAAACTTTCAGCTCGGAGCCAGCCGTGACGGTCCAAGTCTGATCAGGTTAGATCAGTGGCGCCGTCTGTGGGAAACTAGCTTCCCCGTCTTGCAAATCCAGAGACCAAAGCTCAAATTCAACTACCTGTCATGGCTGATCAAGCTCGCGATGAGCAGAACGTCCGTGTCGCCGACACTAATAACGGCACCGCGGACAAGAACGGACACCTTGATAACGCCGGCAACCCCGGCCACAATACCATTCCTGTGACGACCGCCCCTGGAACTTCCTCCTGCAGGGACGGAGCTACTGCATCGTCCTCCTCGCTCCCTCCACCACTTGAAGACGACCCGGCGGCCCTCGCTCATTACAGAGCTGCCCGGTTCCACGAGGTCCCCGTTCCCGCCGGGGCAGATGCCACGACTCAAGCACTGTTCGCGGCCATTAATCAGACAAACTATCTCATCTTCGCCCAAGGAGAAAGACTAAGGGCGCTCGAAGATGACCGAAGACCCCCGAGGAGGCATCGGAGGCCACATACTCCACCTCCTCGGGTCACAGAAGTCCAACACCTGTCTCCCCCGCGGAGACATCACCGAGAAACCTCTCGGAGCCCGTCACCTCGACCAAAGCAGAGGCGATCCTATTTGGAGAGACAACCCGTCATCCCAGTCGGAGAACCTAGTCGCGACCCGGCAAGGCACGACAAGAGAACGCCGGAGACGGGCGTGTAACATTCAACCAAAGAGCATCACGCTCGAGGGAGACTCAGCACGACCACGACCGTCGTGCCAGACAATACTACAGGTCCCCATCTCTGTCTCCGGAGAGGAGCGACGAGGACGACCCCCGCGGTCCCCTGTCGCAGGCCATCATGGATGCACCCATCCCCCCGGGCATGGAGAAGCCCCCACATCTGAAGGAGTACGATGGAGTCGCGGACCCGGTCGACCACATTGACGGGTTCCAGGCTATGCTCCATTATCATAATGTCGGGGGGCCCATCAAGTGCCGTCTTTTCCCCACGACTCTCAGGAAGGCGGCCATGGACTGGTACAAAGGACTCGCTCCGGGCTCAATCACCTCGTGGCGGAACCTGAAGAACCAGTTCATCAGTTCCTTCACCGCTTCTCGACGTCATCCAAAGACCGAGGCGGCTCTCGAGGCCATCATCCAAAGACAGGATGAGACCTTGAGGGAGTTCATCAACCGCTTCAACCGAGAAGCAATACAGGTCCCCTGCGCGGACCACATGAAGAGATATCTGCTGGAGAGGGGGCTCCTCCCCGGCACAGAGTTCAGGAAAGCCGTGGGTATCGAGCCGCCCAGGACTTTCGACGCCCTCCTCGAAAAAGCTCGGGCATACATGGATTACGAGGAGAGGGAAGCGGCCAACAGGGCCCGAGACTCCAGGACCCGCGGGCCTAACAATAGCTCGCGCCAGGAAGCACCTCCTCCCCGACGGACCGGGGAGAAAAGGAAGGAGGACAGACCCCGGGAAACCCGCGACCAAAGGGGACCCTCGGGCCGTTTCACCGAGTACACTCCGCTCACAGCTTCCCGCGAGCGTATTCTGGCGGAGTGTGCCAGTACAGACTTCAAGGACGGCGGCGTCAAGCGTCCCCGACCTGCTTCCGCCAAGCCCGAGGCGGACAAAAATAAATACTGTCAGTACCATAGGAGTCATGGTCATCTGACGGAGGACTGCGTCCACCTCAAGGACACCATTGAAACCATCATCAAGGGAGGGAGGCTCGCGCAGTACCGGCGAAACGACGCTCCTCGTCGTGACGCCCATGAAGCCAGGGAGCCAGAAGAAGACGCCCGACCATCAGACGAGTCGGTGCCTATCCAGACCGCCTTCTCGGTGACCAGGCCCGAGGACTTCGACATTCCCGAGCACCTGCAGGAACCGCTGACAACGCACATCAGGTGGGAATACTTTCCCTCTGCCATGGTCATCAATGGGGGCGGGTTCAACGACCTCACCATCAATTCAGCTAAGAGGAAGTTGGACGAGTTGGTCGACGCGGCTCCCCCGCAAACAGTAACGTTCTAAAGGGTGAAGGGCAGGTCAGAGCCCATCACCTTCTACCTAGAAGAGCTCCCCGGCGGAGCCCCGAACGCGCTCATCCCCTTACTGATAAGGGCAAGAATGGCCAATTTTGATGTGCATCGCATCCTGGTCAACGAAGGGAGTTCCATCGACGTGATGTACAGCCAACTGTTCCGAACCCTACAGCTGGACGACTCACATCTCTCTCCGTATGTGGGGTCAGATCTACAAGGCTTCAACGGCTCGACTTCCAAACCTTGGGGGTATGTCGAGCTCCTGGTTACGTTCGGCGAAGGAACGGCTACTAGACAAGTCAAAGTCTGCTTCCTCGTCATTGACTGCCCGTCTCTGTACAACTGCATCTTGGGGAGACCGACACTGGCAGAACTAACAGCGGTGCCCTCGACCGTCCACCTGAAGATGAAGTTCTATACCAAGCGGGCACGGGTAGCTACTATCCAAGCAGACCTAGCCGCTGCCCGGAGGTGCTTCAACGCCGCTTCAAAGGGACGGGATACTGTCGACATTGGGACAAGGCCCGCCAAAAGGACACGTCAGGAGCCCGACAACCCAGAACCCATCAAGGAAGAAGTCCAGAAAGCTCCACCAAAGGTCGACTCCATAGCCCTGGACACTCGCTTCGACCAGGACGAGCCTCCTAGCGGCGAGCAAATCCCACTCCGACCAATACCGGACGGGGATTTGAGCTCGTCCCCCTCGGCACAGATCCGACCAAGGGAGTGAAGATTGGCAAAGACCTCCCCGACTTGGCCAGAAAACAAATCAAGGCCTGCTTGCGCGAGAATGCTGATCTGTTCACCTGGAGCACCGTGGAGATGCCCGGACTCGACCCTGAGGTCGCCTGTCACCACCTCGCCATTGATCCAGCCGCTAGGGCCGTAGTACAGCGTAGGTGTAGACAGTCTCCAGAAAAAACGGAGGCTGCTGAAAAAGTTGTAAAAGACCTCCTAGAGGCAAATTTTATTTCTGAAGCCCGGTACTCCACCTGGCTGTCAAACGTTGTACTTGTTAAAAAGAATAATGGAAAATGGAGGATGTGTGTTGACTATACTGATCTCAATCGGGCTTGCCCGAAAGATGCTTTCCCCTTGCCTAACATTGATATGCTGGTCGACAACTCGGCCGGCTACAAAACATTGTCGTTCATGGACGCCTACTCGAGCTATAACCAAATCCCAATGGCCATGAGCGACAAACACTGCACGGCTTTCATGACCAGCTCGGGCAACTATTACTACAACGTAATGCCCTTTGGACTGAAAAACGTCGGGGCAACTTACCAGCGCATGATGAACAAAGTTTTCCACAAACAGATTGGCGACATGCTCGAGGTATATATGGACGACATGATCGTCAAATCCCGAGCGGACACCGACCATGCAGCGCACCTCAAGACAGTCTTCGCCCAGGCAAGACAATGCAAAATGAGATTCAACCCCGAGAAGTGTACGTTCGGAGTCAAGGCAGGGAAATTCCTCGGATTCTATCTAACAGAACGGGGAATTGAAGCCAACCCCGACAAATGCCGGGCGTTCTCCGACCTCCCGACTCTGACGTCGAAGAAGTCCATACAAATTATGAACGGGATACTCATGTCAT